AGTGATTCTGATAACTTCAAATGCAAAGCTTGCTTCTGTGATGAAAAGGGAGTTTCCTTATGTCACCTATGCACTATGCACCAAGATTATGCACCATTGAATTGTTGTGTTGTTCTGTTTGACCAAATTAGCGTACACGTATATCCTAGGACTTCTTCGCGTTTATTATTGTGTACTAAAGTTGGGATTACTCGACATCCATAATGCCAATCAAAAGGCACTTCAGAAGGCGTACGAACGTGTATTAACGCAGTAATCAAAATTCAAAAGTTGGGCGAGTATAATCTACCAATTGTTTACACGCAATCTTTAGGGTGATAAACAAATCAAAGTCCAGTTACATAGTGTAAGTATACTACGATGATGAATAATAAAGTGGGTCACTAAAATAGCTCCTCCGTAGAATGCAGGTAAATGAAATTTATCTGTATTCGGAATGTTATTATAAATTACACGGACACAAAATATATATATAAGAGTTTTCTGGTATGAAAACCGAATCGAGGATTTTAAGTTTTCTGAGGTTTCATAATATAACTGTATATATTCGAAAATGCTAACACTTTGAAAGGAACCAAAATGTTTTGAAAGTTGTGCAAAATGTAACAATAAAACCAGGAAAATTACTAGAATAATAATGAAGTTGTTATTTTTAAGAGCTATAGAATAGATTTATATCTTAACATACAGTTAATAGCGCAGTAATAAGGAAGTATGGAAATGAATTAGAAATAAATTATCTCTACAAATCTTTGTGGTCAATGTACTCGCCTGTCTGATCTTGTGGTTCTTTCTGTTTTGTTGGCCGGGATATTATCAGATTTTGAATCTTGAGAGAAAGAATCCTTTTGTGGCATAGTTTTAGGTGATGTCGATAACTTTGGTAAACATTCAGTCACCTCTATTTCCATTAAAACTGGTTTTACGCGATCAGTGGTTACATTCTTGTGTTTTTCTCCGCGTTTGACAGTGATGATTTCGCTTGTTACTCTTATTAATTTAAATGGTTCGTCAAAAGCTGGTTGAAGTATTTTCCTCTAACCGTCGTGTTGTATGAAAACATGACTGTAATCCTCTGGTTTTTGAGGCATGCATGCTCGGTTGGGTTAGTGTCATGGGGGATGATATCTTAACAGGCTCATATGTTGTCTCAGTTGTTGTGCAAAAGTAGTTTCGTCTGTTGGAACTTCAGTGGCCGGGTTGAAATATTCTCCTAGCAGTCGTAAAGTAGTTCCATAAACTAATTCTGCTGGACAACATTCGGCATCTCGTTTTATTGTCGAACGTATCCCAAGAAGTACAAGAGGTAATTTGTCGCTCCACTTATCATCACCCTTTACTGCCATCAATGCTGCTTTCAGCTGACGATGAAATCTCTCCACTAAGCCGTTTGAGCTGGTATGATAAGCAGCAGTACATATAGGCTTGATTACCAGTATTTTTGTGAGTTGTTGGTATAAACAGCTTTCGAATTGAGCACCCGTGTCTGTAGTAATAATGCTGCGCACCCGGAAGTTAGAGATCCAGTTTCGTACAATGCTTTTTGCTACAGTTTCGGCAGCAGTAGCAGGTAAAGGACTAGCTACTGGCCATCTCGTAAATCTGTCGGTGCATGTTAAGATATAAGTAAAGCCATTAGATGGTGATAACGGTCCAAGGATATCAATGTGGAGGTGTTGGAACCTACCATCTGGTTCTGGAAACTGGCCATTAAGTGAGATTGTATGTCGTTGTGCTTTTGGCAGGCTAAACATGATCTGATCCACTGTTTATTCTCACTATTCATATCCGGCCATATACATCGGTCACTTATCAGTTTAACTGTCGCTCAGATACCAGGGTGAGAAATGCTATGTATTTTGGAGAAAACTAATCTTCGCATTTCTAATGGAACAAAAGAACGCGGTTTACCTTTGGAAGCATCACACGTAACAGTTAGGCTTTCACCAAGCATAACATATCGCAAACGTAAAGAATTACTCGTGCTATTCTTTAGTCTTTTCAGATCCTCTTCCATAGTTTGCAGTCTAGCCATCTTTTTAAGATCAAACTGATCTTTTTCTAAGGTATTTATATGAATGCGGGATAACGCATCTGCTACCTCGTTTTTATGTCCTTTGACGAATCTAATATCTAAAGTGAATTGAGTAATGAGCTCGAGGTGTCAGAGCTACCTCGGTGAGTACTTATCATGCTTCGTATTTATGGCTTTAGTTAAAGGTTTGTGGTCTGTGTAGATGATAAATGGCTTTCCTTCGATCATATGACGAAAATGTTTAACAGCAAGATAGACTGCTAGTAATTCTCTACCGAATGCACTATACCTTAATTGAGTAGCGTCTAGACGTTTGGAGAAAAAGGAGAGACGTTGCCATTGTTGAAGAACCGCGCCGACGGCGACGTCTGATACATCTGTTATAATAGCTATAGGAGCGTTGACGTCACGATGTACCAGTAAAATTTCTGTGCTCATAGCCTGATTCGGCTTTTAAAATGCTTTGACTGCTGAAATATTCATGTGCAGCAAATTTGCGTGACCTTTTAGTAAGTCCATCAGAGGTTGGGCCAGCTCTGCACAGTGAGGAATGAAATTGCAGTAAAAGCTAACGAGACCAAGAAATCGGCATAATTTTTCGGAAGAATCTGGGATGGGGTATTCTTTCATGAATCGAAGTTGTTCTGCTATGGGTCGAATACCTTGATTGTCTTCCAGGTGCTTCAAATATTTCACAGCTTTCTTACCAAATTCACATTTACTTGACTTAGTGACAGTCCCACATTCAGGCAAACGCTTAAAGAGTGTTTGTAGGTGATGCTGGTGCTCTTCAGTTGATTTACTTACGACCAGTATATCATCGCTACATGCGTAAGTGAATGTAAGGCCATGCAAGACCTGGTCGATGAATCACTGAAATGTTTGAGCCGCGTCAGTTAAACCAAATGTCAGACGGACGAACTCGAATAACCCAAAAGGAGTGGTTACCGCAGTTTTGGGGATGTTCTTGAGTTCGACCGGTATATGGTAGTGTGCACGAGCGAGGTAAATTTTGGAAAATATCTGAGCACCTGCAATGCTATGAAAAAAGTCACTAATATGCGGAATTGGATATCTATCGGCTATCGTCTGCTTATTTAAATCTCATTAACCTCCACATGGTCGTATCTCTGTTGAGTTTTTCTCTGGAACCATATGAAGTGGTGATGAACATGGGCTGTTTGACGGTCGTATTATTCCTAGATCCAACAATCTGTTGAACTCTTCTTTTGCTATTTGCATTTTAGCTGAATCTAAACGACTTTGCGGACCTTTATCGACAATATGGTGCATTACGTTGTGTTTGAGAGAGGCTGTGGAGTAATCTCTCTGTGTGAGTTCAGGAAATTTCTGTAGCAAAATCTCGTACGGGGATAATTGAGCTGATGTAGCCACCATCAAGCGGATACTCTCGACATCGGTGCAGATGCCTGAAATCGATAGTTTGCGATTGTTGATTATCAATCTATAGCGATTAGAGTCGACTAGCAACTCGTAGGGCTGAAAACAATCCATCCCAATAATAGAAAAAGTAGTATTGGCAATGACGAACCACGTGGAGTGAAGGTTATTTTTCATTGAAGTCCATAAACTAATGCTATTTAGTCGTCTTATTCGTTGTGAAATTAAGGGTGAAGGTACGGAGTACAAATAACACTCTCACTGTTTCCATTGGCTGATTTATTTATTATTCATGAAGATTATTAAGATAAATGAAGACAAACTATGCAACCAGATACTAAATCCTCTGGACCAAAACACTACTAATACTGAATTCGACAGTTTTCATTACGTTACAAAATCTGTAATTTATAGTTTATATAATTCACCTAGCTAATAGATTCCACTGATCATAACTTTACATACTACGGGTGAAATGGTCATCCAACAGTATACTACAGTCACTAGACGAAACTGGTACTTGACTAAATGTGTACATGTATAGAAAATCTGACCGCTGAAATACGTAAAGAAAGCTTACTGATATTATTTAAAGTACTACTTAAAAATACTCTGAGTAATTGTGCACTTAAAGTAGTTTCATTAATTATCTGAGAATAGGTTCGTTTAGTTAATAAATGTTCATAAAGAAGGAAAAACGGCCTAGACTTCTTTCTGTGTTCATGTAGTAATGAAATAAGGTCCCTAGTTAAAGAGAAAAACCCCATTCGGCATCTAATCTTCAGTAGAATTTGAATCCCCTTTCGTCCTTGATAAACATTCCTTGTACATAACAAAAATTTACTTTTTAGTGATGTAAACGCAATTAGTTTTGTCCTGTGATACCTAGTGAATCGAATAGTGAGAGTACTTATCGTTCTAGTATACTGTGAAAATAAATGTCAGTAGTTTGCACTTCGGTAGAAATAAACTCGTTATTTGAGTTTCACAAATACTTGCATCTTTGTAATCTGGAGCACAGAATGTCTATTTAGAAGACTGAATCTTTTAAGGTATGATGGTGTGATTAATTTCCAACATACCTGTTTGTGATCTTATTTCATAACAGTCTGAGCTTCCTTGTTTGTTTATGTCTTAAAAAATCTGTTAGTCTTACTAAATAATTAGTGGGGTTCAATAGAAAACTAGTGTTTGCATGAACAGTCATAATATGAGAGAAGTTGTCAGCAAATTAGTCATGGTAACTACTAACAATAAGCTCAACATTCTTTTATACTGAGGTAATTATAAAATAAGCAAGGTCTCATTTTTCTAACAGAAGCATTATTGACTATTGCTTGGAATCCCTAGAATAATTTGGTACATAAATCAGATAACTTGATTATCGTATTTATCATTTAGTAGTGTCTTAAAAACTCAGAAGTCTCAATATAATTGGTGAACACTACTAATGCTTAGTCACTATAACCAGTCAAGTGTATTATAAAGGCCAAGTACATACAGAATAAGAGTTGTTCACTCTAGAGTTATTTACTTTAATACGGAAGTGACTAAGACTGAAATAATGAATAAACCAAGAAAAGATGACATGCAACAATGTGCTATTGATTTAACAATTGAAGCTATGAATAAGTATTCTTCATATGATGAAATAGCTGGATATGTGACGAAAAACATCACCACCAAGTATCCTGGGAATTGGCATTGTAAAGTTGGAGTGTCATTTGGAAGGTGAGTCTTAAAACGAAAATATTTTCATTTTCTTGTGCTGCTATTAAGAAATGATTTATTTCTTCTTTACTGCTTGTTTTTGTATCACTGTGATCTCTGAGCTGGATGATTTGGTTGAGAAGCTTCCATTGTCTTTCTAGAGAACATCCTTAGCGCTAACTTAAACGTTAAGTGAGTTTCTGGGTTTCACTATCAATGAAACATCCAGCTCTTCTGGTTACCTTGACTGTGATCGATTGCCTCAGAAGATTTTCTTATGATTGTCTTCATTTCTACTGATGTTCGGTTAAGTTAAACTTTAAGCACCATTGACTACCAGAGGAGTGTGACCACACCAATGACCCTGAAGCGCTCACTGAGAAAGTTGGTGAATTCCGGCAATCAATATTTTCATCATTAATGAAGTATGCTAATCGAAGTTTAATGTTATTAAATGGAATCTCTGGTAAGTTTCAGCTTAGGTTTGGGAAAGATTGAGTTACCCTTTTAGCCAAGGATAAGTTAGGGTTAGGTTAACCTGACAAAGGCGACATTAGGTTTGATTCGAGTTAGATTACAGCTAGTTTAGGGATATTTTCGCGTTAGGGTTAGGTTCAGGAGGATTAGGGTTATTGTTAGGGTTAGAAGACATAAATAATTACATGCGTAGAATGTGGTAAAGTATAATTCTATTGTGAGTAAAATTTATTTCAATAAAGTCTCATATTGTTATACAGTAATATTTACTGATGACGTTTCGAGCACCATTTATTGTTCAGTAAATATTACTTCATAACATTATGAAGCTTTATCAAAATAAGTTTTACCCACAATGGAATTTATACTCTGTTGATACGTCAACCTAAAACTGAGAGCTACCCTTATCACATGTGAGAGGAAGGTATCCTCTGTAACACTTTTAAACAAGTTTTGTGCATTTCTTTTTCATAAATATACGTATTGCATGCACAAAAATGTCTCCTTCACGTGACTGGTGGTTTCGAGGTCATTCGCTGATTGGCAGTTAGTGGTGCTTAAAGTTTAACTTTGCATGATATTCTTAGTTTGGTTTCCATGATATTTGATCTTTTGATTGCGTGACTTACTTTATATTGATTAAAAATTTTGGCCACTATCCACATGTCTGTTAACTGCAAATCAATCTGAGTATCAAGGTTTTAGGAATTCACTGGTATCATTCATGTTCCTTCAGTCTAACAATTTTACATTTAACCAGTTGAGTTGATGTCCGTAGTTGTCTACGTGAATTGATATGAATGGATGTAAAGGATTTCCGAAATCACTGTTAGAGTCAAGTTAACGTTTGGAATAGTTGTCGTCCAAACACCAACATAGTCTTCTTATGCCACACTCTAAAAGACTCGACGGCTAAAGAAGATCAAGCCCCTTTCATGTATGAGACAGGTTTTATTAACCGCAAAAAACACAATATTGGTCGAATCTGACGTCCTCTTCTTCGTTATATTCACGGATAAAAGCTAGCAATTAAAAGGCACAAAATATATTCATTCATATCAGTTCATGCGGATAAATATGGGCATCAATACAGTTAGATGAATGAAAAAAAACTTTAAACACGATGCACATGAAGAATGTAAAGAAAGAAGCTTTGTGCCTAAATCAATTTGTGATTTACAGGTATGTGTATATTTACCGAACTTACCAATAAATAAAGAATAAGTCCTGTGATCAAAAGATCCGGACCACTAGAAAAGATGAGTATTTCATCCACTGGGAATTCCAAAAGTTCACTTCACGCTGAAGTTAGCACTGAAGATGTTGTCTACGAAGACAATGAAACTTTGCAATTTAGTCAACCAATTGAAGGAACACCAAAACAGTGGATAGACTCATTTGAGCCTGCAAAACGTATCCACTATTCCTTCACAATGTTTATCCACAAAATTATAATAGGCTGAAGTGTATTTTTGATGAGCTTCTGGTAAGGGGATAATTACTCCTTTTAGCAGTCAGACGGTACTAGATAAATGTTAGTAACACTTTAGTGAAATATTTCGGGCACGTTATAAAGAAGGGACTATGAATGATTTTGAAAAGATATCAGATATTTGACTATTTTCACCTTCACAGAATTTATTTATGGAACGTACATTCAGTTGACATTATTACAGAAGAACTCAATTTTGTTCAGCGACGACTGTTTACCACCAAAGAAAAACTGTGTACTATGGAGTATTATGTTTTCATTCGAAAATTTAAGACAATGATTGTGGACTCGAATCATACTCTTATACTATATACAAAGATCCAAGTATGAGTTAGGATATCATCTATTGGAAATCAAGCTTGCCTCACTTTCATTTCAGTATACTTGTATAGGTAGAACGAAGGTGATCACTCATAACTTTTAATACGGAATGCTTTAATCATATCACATACTACGCGTGACTGTTTTACAGGTGTTTTGTTAATCTGCTCATACGTGTAGAATATCTATTGTTACGTTTGCTGTGCTGTGTGTGAAAGCACCTCACAAAGGCTTTTATCCTCAATCCCAACCATGTTGACAGTGTCTTTAAAAAAATAAAAGGGTTAAAACAAAAGAAACAAGTGAACGCTTGACATCATGTGATAATAGCAGACTTTTGATTTGAAAGTACCTTCAGACGGACAGTAGTTAACCACTCAATCAGGAATAAGAAACTTGGAAGCAAATGTTCAGTTACATTAGTGAAAACTAATTGCATTTATAAATATTCCGTAAGAATACACAAAATCGGTTTAAGTAAAGGCCTCATATGGGCGTCTGTATTATTTATAGGTACGTTTAGTCAGGATCATGAGAGTAGTACACTAACATCACTGATTTTCGATAACATAATGTGCTATTCAAAAAATTATCAAAGTCAAAAAAGCTTTTAGCAAGCATTAAAAGCCACACCAACGAGTTAAAATGTCTCTGACAGTGATGGCCAGGATTTTAATAAGCCCTGAACGTTGGTAGAATTAGGACCCTTAATTATTAGTTCGTGTGTCAGTGGCACAGCGGTTAAGACGCTCGCCGAACATGCACATGGTCCGGGTTCGATTCCCGGCCGCCAACGCACTTCTTTACCTCACTGAACCAGTAATGAGACTGGTAAAGAGGAAAGGTAGGGCATGAGGCTAGCAACCCCATCCTGTAAAATTAAACACTGCTACAGAAATTTTTCAGGCCACTAGCTTGAGGCCCTATGTTCCACTGGGAAGGTGAAGGAAAAAAAATTATTAGTTCAAATCCTGGTGTCAATCAGTATTTTTTGAAATGAAAATAAGTCTGTCAATTAAAGTGATTTTACACAGCTTAACTGACAATTCAATTAGTTGATTATTATTGCTTATTTCGAATAATTTGACGTCTTTTTTCAAAAAAATTCTTTCTTCAGCTTCGATGCATGTGATTTTGAATTCTGTTTCCGGTATTTCATTGAAAATTTGGCTATTATCCTGTACAAATCAAATTAAACAAATTTGAATGTAAAAAAATATAATCGTCATTAATATAAAAGAAATTACACACTCTAAGCAATACATTGAACAGTATTATGCCTTTAATAATGTTTTAAATGCATTCAGTATGTAATTTGTAAATGTTTTGTACCCTTTTTTATATGAGACAGCTGATTGTATTTTTATAAACATTTAAAACACTTTTTACAACCATCTTCGTGACAGCTAATATTGTTGTTTAAAAATAAACGAAACAAATTCAGAGGTCAACTTCTGTTAATGATCTTTGAGATATCTTAAGCCTTATATCGAATAACACTAGAATTCTCCAATGAAGGCTACATTTAAGTTAAAGAATGTTCATGTTTTTAGACATTTAGATGAAACAAAATATTCAGATTTTTCGAAATATGAAAGATACTAGTACAAAAAATGAACCATTAGTCCTTGTTGACACTACTTTCAAGTTCATTGATGTCTCGTTGTTGTCGATTATTCAAAACAACGCTTGCAACAGTTCTGTTGTACAGCAAACGTGCAGCTTTATTTCAATAAAGAAATTTGTTACCAGGAAGAAAGTGTGACATCGGGTTCACCATCAAAATTTTATAGAATTAACACTTTGATAACAGGAATTAAAAATGGATCATCTAAATGAGCAGTTGATAAACTCTCGTTTAATCGTAGATATTAATGAAAACAAGGCGAATAGTTCAGCGTAGAGGTCCTTTTTATTGAATTCATTTTTTTTAGTTATGCAACCGCATTTACCTACAACATTTTCATGAAAGAGGGTAGCAACAAAAGTGATGGGTTATCACAGACAATGTCGTTACTATTAGTCAATGCATAAGAGGCGTTAAACAAGTGCATTTGAGTTACGTATAAAGAAGAATAATTTATTGAGTAAGTTGTAGTCAGGAGGAGTCAGGTACATTAGTAGTTCGACGCGTGCTCTGTCTAAAAGGATTCAGAAACATTGTCACGTATGGTTGAAGAAGGGTAGTAGTGGTTCTGTAAGCACTGCGATAATTGAACATTTTGTCAACACTGGTTAGTACATCGCAACAAACGCCTCCTTCAAAGTAATCTACAAAATGAAGAGTAACCTAGCAAAAACAACACACATTTGTCTCTTTTGGATTGCTGAAACTTTAGCCATGGGGAGAGAAAAACCGGAGCTTTGCATTCAGAAGAAAAACTATTCAACCACTTTCGCTATCCTGTTAACAGTCTTGTTGATTTCTGCTGACTCGACTTTTGCTTGTTTATTTGTTTTTCTAACCTCTTTTAACTCTTGTTTTTCCCTAGACTTCTTACATAATTCCATATTCTACTTTGTTCCCATGTGCATCCTGATTAATGCTTATTCATTAAATTATTCTGCCTATTGTGTAACTCCAGTACACTTATTTAACTCCTATTATACATTAACTAATATTAACCAGAATGTTTGCAACAACTCGTCACTTTTGTTACCAACCTGTTTCATGGAAAATTGTATTTAAATGCCACTGTACAGCTAAAGCAAATGAATTCGACAAAAAGGGCCTCTTCGCTGAACTAGGTGCCTTGTTTTCCTTAACTGCAGGTACACGGAAGGTGTGTGTCAGTGGCACAGCGGTTAGGGCACTCGTCGAGCATGCATATAGTTTACGGTTCGATCCCCGCCGATGCACTCCTGATATCAATGGTCCGTCTGCAAAATTTGGGTCACCGATATCACATGCTGTAAATTTCATACTTGTATCAAAAGTACGGTGCGGAATCAAGCTATAATCAAAGCAAAAATAAATGCGGAGGTTATTTATTTTGTGATAAACATGGCCGACTAGGTAATCAGTTCAACTTATGAAATGAAAGATGGAGGCTGTTTACCATTTCTTACTTTCATGATATTAAATTATATTAAAGAGAATAGATAACAAAACTAAGCGTAGTGTTTCATTCAGAAAATTATAGATCAGTCAATTCACATATTTCTGATCATTGAAATAATCATCGAGTTTTATTCGAATTCCATTGTTTTTAGTAGGGAATATTTGTTAAGATTTTTATTACCGATAAAAATAAGAGGTGTGGTAAAACATTATAAATGAATGATAATGTAATAATGAAGAAATAAAAAAATGCTTATAGATGATAACAAAGCCATTTATTCGTTACTTGATCTGTCAAGGGAGAATTACACACTACATTACTAACATTGAAGCGCAGTAATTTAGCAGAGAGAAATTTGTTCTCCACTAATAAACCCACTATAAATGAAGCATAAACTTTTAGTCACTTCTGTACACACTTACACAACTATTTATGTGGAGATGTTTACACTTTTAGAACCACTTGACAAAGCCATCCAGACCTTCTTGAACACTGAGCAGATACAGTGAACTCCACTGCAGATCAAAACTAGCCGGCATAATGAATGTCCAGTACAGCAATAATGAGAGTTCTGCTTGTTCTATTACATACAGCGTACCATCGCTGTAATCTAGGTTTGCGTATTCACGATTGACATATATGGGAAAGGTAATAGGCATAAAAACACACCTGTACTGAGACTTCAAAGCTGAAACTTTAAGTTCTGTTTCACTCAGGAAGAAAGGAAATGGGGAAAGGCATCTAAATTCTCCAGTCTAGTTTGCCTGTTATGGAGAGCTTTATGAGACGTCTTTCTTATGTCTGTGCCTCTTTTTAATTGAAATAGAAAAGATTATGATCATTTTCTTTCTTCTTTACACCGAATATTTGTGAATGTTATTCCTATTTGTAGTTTTACCATTTTCATAAACACATTCAGTTTTAATCAGACATTTTCCTTTTATTTTTACGATTTATTTATTAATGAACGAATGAAGTATTTTATAATCTGAATGCTGTGACAAAATTATTTCTTCATCTCCACTTTAATACTCACATATAATCACTACACATATCTACATTGATTAACTCTCTTATAATTTTTATTATTAGAACTTTGATATTATCACTAATTCTATCCCTCTTACCTCCTAATTTATGTGATTAAACCGGAGATTCACTAACAGGAGTAGCATCAAATGTTTGAATTTTTGAAATTTAAAATGTGATATAAAACAATATTAAATACATACATACTTAAGAGTTGATTTGGAGGAATTTGATTGGTTTCAGGATTTAATCATGAACTGACATCGGTCACAGGACCATTGGAAAGACTGGGAGTAATGGACAGTTAAAATTAGGTTTCTCAGTTAGAAGATGTCTTTGGTGATGAGTTATTTTATAACATACAGATATTTTCAAGTTATTATCTATTTAGCTGAAACTTCTGCTATTGAGGTAAGCGCATTTAATAACATATTGTAGCACTCTTACCTTAGGGAAAATTGCAGAAAAATATCTCGTGGACGTCTTCCAAAAGAATCGGTAACCACGGAACTTAATCAAAAATCATCCGCCCTCAAAAGCCCCCAAGGAAAGTACGAAGAAAATCGCCTTACCATATATAAAGGATATCTCAGAAATCACTACAAGACTATTCATACCTTTAGGAATTGACGTCGTTCGCAAACCTACAAAGTCACTTCACTCAATTCTATGTCAACCAAAAGACTCAACAGCGAACGAGATAAAACCAACATTACCTACAAAATAAATTGTAACAACTGTGAAAAACACTACATTAGCCAAAGTGGACGTCCACTTCGTCTTTGCCTTCATGAACATAAACTGGCCGTCAAAAGACATAATATACACTCCATCATATCGTTACAGACGGACAACCACGGACATTTCTAAATAACTGAACCATTTTGGTCCGTGTTTTGTTATCGGTACCTACAGGTTACATAGTGGGTAATCGGGCTGATGGCGTCTACTAAGGCTAATGTATTGTATCCTATCACCAATGTCACCAATCTGTGAAAGGTCAGTGTTTAAAATTGGACATTCACATGGTTATAGATAAGCCTTACTTTTCACAAATTATACGTTGTATGCCTTTAGTAAATTATTGTAAGCTTATAATGGGACTTTTATTCAACTGTACCACTCAATGGATGGTGTCTAACAATGAGATCCAAGACCGCAATGTACAACCCATAATTCAACGCTTAAAGCGTGATTATTTAATAAAGTGCCGGGGTGCTAAGTATTAGATAAGAATCTGACATCCCTAATGCTGTTTGATATTTGATAACATAACGTTCAGATATATTAGGATAATAATCGACACGAGCTTATTGCGAAACTATTGTACATCTTTATATATACTTTTTGTACCAAGTGAGATGATGATCGTGCAAAATTTATCATTTAAAATTACCTGTAGTATCCAATGTATCCACTGTTGCATCCTAACCAAAACTGAGATTGTTCATATTGTCAAGAATTGTGAAAAAAGTAATCGATGAAAGAAAAATGGTCAACTCTGTGATGAACAAGCACGTGAATGCTAAAAAATGAAAATAATTAAGAATTCGCTAATTATATGCTGGACAAAAGAGGAATTTTATACAGTTAGTTTGATGAACATATTTGAGTATCTTGATGTAAATATATGTATGGTTTATCTGGAAAAATATGGCTTACTGAGCTTATATCAGTCTTATCCAGAACTTTCAAATAGCGGATGTTTCATATAACCGTTAGAGAACAGGAAAAATTAGGCCTACAGCTTATCGATTTGGAACTAAAAAGTAATCAGAAAAAGCCTCATATACTATGATTACTTATACTTGATGAGTGAAAGATTACTTCTGATGCAGAATTCTGTGGGATAGTACCAAGGGAACAAGATAAAGAATAACCACCATGGTTTACAACCTGACAAATGAAACAGAACAGCCAGTGTGATGTCTCTGTCTGTCTGTCTGTCTGGATTCAACATAGAACTTGGCACCGAAGTGCAGCAGGTCGAGTTGCCACGTTCCAAATAGCACACAGAGGTAGATAAGAAGATGAGTGAAGAGAATCAATACAGTCTGACAAGTATAAGAGTGAAACAGAATGGGTAATGGTAGAAAGGAATATGA